GACTGGGGTAATTGGGATGGGTGTGTTGGAGACGGTGCGATTGGCACAGGACAGAGCAGAGTTTAGGGATGTTGTACATAGGGTCACTATGAGTCACAAGCGACTCGATGGCACATAACAATAACAACAACTACAACATCTCAAACAAGGTTCTCATAACAAAAGTTTACAGAATATTACTGGGCCTCCAAGAGAAAAAGTTATATTATAAAACAGGGAAAAGATGTGGAAAGACTTTTCATAGAGAGGGCATTCAGTAGTACAGCTGACAGATGAAGAAATGCTCAAAATCACTGGCAATAAGAGAGATACAAATCAGAACCACAACAAGATACAATCTCATCCGAGTAGCAGTGGCAAAGTTCGGCAGGACAGCAAACAATAAATGGCGAAGAACATGTGGAAAGGTGGGAACTCTCATACAGTGTTGGTGGGATTGTGAAGTGGTACAACTACTCTGGAAGGCGGTGTGGCCTTTTCTCAGAAAGTAGAACACAGAAACTTCATATGACCCAGCTATTCCACTATTAGGAATCTACTCCAAGGGAAGTAGAGCTGAGACACACAGATGGAGATTTGTATACCAGTGTTCACAGCAGCGTTATTCACTATTACAAGAACATGGAAACAACCCAAATGTCCAACCACAATTGAATGGATTGAGAAATTATGGTACATTCACACAATAGAATACTATGTAGCTTTCAGGAATAACGATTTTGAAAAATACTATATAACTCAGTCTAATAAGGACAAATACTGCATAAACCATTATCGTAAAAATCGGAGGATAACTAGTAAAACATGTATGGAGACCCAAGGGGGGAAGGGCTGGGCGCAGAGGGGTGAGGATGGGTAGGGGTAAAATCACTGGGTTGCACAATTTGGTGAGTGGAGGGAGGAGGAAAGGAAATAAGAAAGATCCATAAGGGATCTGAAAAGACAGGTTAATGATGGGCATAGCCCAATGAGGATTAATTTTATAAACCTTAATGCATGGGAATGATTGTACATTATGTAAACATAATGAATATGAATGGAGAAAATTCAATGTATGTGAACCTTATTAGCAAACCAATATAAAACAAAAATTCTTTTTTAAAAAAAGAATAAATGGAAGCAGATTGGTTTGTCAGGAAGGTATAGGTTAAGTGTTTTGTTTTATTCTCTACATAGGGCCACAATAAGGTGAAGGTGATTTAATGGCACCTAACAATATACGACAGTATTCAATAAAGAGAGAAAAACAGTTTTTTTAAAAAAATCTAAAATGAAACAAAACTAGAAATTATGAAAAATAATGCCATAGAAATTCTAGAATTGAAGAGGACAAAAAACAAACTGAAAACTTCACTAGAGTGGCTCTATAAAGATTTGAGCAGTAAGGATAAAATATGTCTAAAGACATTATATTATCTGGACTATGGAAGAAGGTGAAGAAAATTGAACAGAGATTCAGAAAAATACGGGGCATTATTAAGCAGGCTAGTATTCAAATAACAGGAGTATTAGTAGAAAAAGAGTGAAGCAAAGAAAAAAACCCACCTAGGGAAAAAAAAATTTTTCTCACCAAATTTGGTGAAAAAATATTAATGCTTGCATAATACAAGAAGCCCAAAAATTAAGTAGGATAAATAGAAAAAGATCCATACCCAGACAACTAAATGATGAAAATAAAAATTTTTTTAAAGACAACAAAAATCAAAACATTAAGTAAAAACCAAAAATTTCCTCATGTACCAGAAAAGGATTAATACTGGCATATAATATAAGTCACAGAGGCCAGAAGGTAATGGAATAATATATTTAATATGTGGACAAAAAAATCAGAAACTGACAAACAAGAGTCTATGTAAAGCAAAACAATTCTTCAAAATTGAATGTAAACTTAATATTATTCCTCAGTTCTTTTTTCCTGCCTTCTAGTTTACTGCAGTGTTTGAGATTATAAAAACTAGTAGATATGCACCCAAGGTCCAATAATTAGACTCCATTCCATTGAAGCAAAAGAGGATTAACGAGAGCCAAATAATGAAGGGGGAAACCAGATGTGTGTTTGATTGCTTCCATGAATAACCAACCACTTCTTTAGAAAAGAGACTAGACCTGGGTATTCCTAGGTATCATTCCTAAAAATTTTGATTAGAGAGTTCATAAAAGAACACTGATCAAAAGGGAGAAAATGCAGAACAGAGGTTTAAAATTCTAATGGACTACAGATGGCATGATCCTGTATTTAGAAAACCCCAAGGACCCTAAAAAACATTGTTAGAACTAATAAACATGTTTGCAATGACACAAGATAAAATAATTAACACGCATATACTAACATCATCTATAATTCTGTATGGTAGCAATGAATATTCCTAAAATAAAATTAGAACACATTGTAATTCATAATAGTATCAAAATGAACAAAATATTTAGGAGTAAATTTGTCAAAATAAGTTTGAGACTTTTGGAGTACTGAATGCTACCAAAAAACATTGCTATAAGATACCAAAGATCTAAACAAATAAAAAGACATTTGATTCATGGACTTGAAGAGTAATTGTTACTAAAGCTATATTTAGCCCAACATATAAACATACTTTGGACATTTTATGACTTCAATATCATCTATTTAAATATACATATAGCACATTTTAAAGCATTCTTTCTATATTTTGTTTAGAAGCATGGTATTAGTTTTGTTATTTTCAAGCAAAATATGACAAAATATTCTCAATTAAAATTTATCATGTTCAAATATATTTGACTAGGTAGACTCGAGAAATCTTCAATGGAAGTTTATCTTAAAAAATGTAAAATGCATAGAATAAAAATACATGAGAATAAATAAAACCAAACTACTGTGTTATCTAATCAATTATAAAAATGACTTTAACAGACAAGACAATGATGTCAACAATATATTAAAAATAAAAACCAACAAACTATGGTAAAGCACAAAGAGGTATAGTCCTCCTCTTACTGCTATTGTGTCAGTCCCCACTCACAGTTGACCCTCCAGAGAAATTTCCAAGGCTGGCCATCGCATGGAAGGGGACTGCCTATCGTCCTGCCTTAGAGCAGCTGGCAGAGTCTACCCAACAGAGAAGCTCAATCTTTAGGCCAGCTGCACAAATCTGTCTGGACCATGCCACCAGCTCCCTAAAAGGCCTATGAGGACTTGACAACACTGCCTACAGCATGTATACGTACCACAGATGACAATATCCGTTCATAGGTGCTCTAGTAATAGCTCTTTCACCTAAAGATTTTCCTGAAAAAGAAATATATTTATACTAGTGAGTTGGGAGGGTTCAAATTCTTGAATTAAGTCTGTAGTTCTCAAAGTGTGTTCCCAGGGTTAGCAGCTTGAGCTTCAACTAGAATCTATATGCCAGTGAGATGGAACTGACTCATAGCTGGCCCTCTTGAGGATTTCCAGAGGCTAGATAAATTGAATTGGGAATGGGAGGTGGATTAGAATCACAGGACTTTGGTTTGGCAGAGCAACTCCTTACAACGAGGCCACCAGAGTTCTCTTGAGAAAATTTTCAGCTGCACTTAAGGTCTACTTGATCAGGTATTTTGAAATGAAGCCATGCAATGTTTTTTAGGGACTTTCTGTGATTCTAATACACGTTCAAGTCTGAGACCCACTGGATGGGTCTTAGATACTCTGGGCATGTTGTTAGGAGGGGTTAGTCCTTGAAAAGTTAGTCCTTGGAAAGGGTGGAAAGTCAGCGTAAGAGAGGAAGACCTTCAACAAAATGGATTGACACAGTCACTGTATCAACAGGCTAAGTATATCAGGGAAGGTGAGGATGGCACAGTGTAGGACAGGGCTCAGATCTGTTGTTCATAGTGGTGCTGTGAGTTGCAGTTAACTTGACAGCACATACCACCACAAAATAACCAATGAACCACCAAAATGCTCTTTTATATAAGTGGTTAATACTATTTATAAACAAGAATTTTTTTTTTCATTCTCAAACTCGTATCGCTTCATTCACCAAGGGAACCCTGTGTGGAACCTGACATAAACTGGAAAAATCAAAAAGTGAAAAACATTGAAATAATAACTAAGGTTACAATGGGGATCTACAGTCAAGGAGTTGAGAATGTTCAAATGAAAAATATAATATTCCTATCCGGCACAAACATTAAAATTAAACCAGCATTTTTACGGCATTGATTCCCACCAACATAAAATGCCACCAACATTTTTACTGCTCTCACTACCACCAACTAAAAGGAGGAAATTCTATCACTACAACCATACATTTTATATCTACAATACATATTTGAAGGGTATAATTATATGTGTACACATATGCATTCATGTATTTGAGTATCAAGAAGTATGCACAGGTATACATGTCAATTAAAAATGATAATCATGTTTCTTTTAAAAGATAAAATCCATATATAATTGCAACACAAATGCTGATCAATCATGGTACTTTAAAAGATGTACTTCACAGTAGTGTAAAAGAACTCTGCCATCTCCTGAGAATATTCCACAGATGACAGTGTCAATAAAAGAGGGAGGGAGTGTACGGGGCACTTCCCCCTCATACTGAGTTTCAACATCCTTTAAGAGCTGGTCTAAGTCTTTGACTTGTTCTCAGCTCCAGTGTACTTTATCATTTATTTGCTGGGCACTTACTACTTTTATGCTTTATTGTAAATGGTTTTCTCTAGACTGATCTATTTCATGTAAGTTCCCTGGGTACAGGGGTATCTCAATTATCTTGAAATCTGACACTCTCTCCTTCTTCATCATCCCTCAACCCTTCATTTTATATTGCTCCTAGACAGAATAATTTCAAATAAGCATTTCTTAAATTAATTGAATTTCTAAAAATGCACTTCCACATCTAAATGAAGGCTCACACATTTGAGTGTTTACTCCTCTTTTATTTGGCATCATAATTTTCCCCTCCAATACACTCTATTCCAATCCTAAACTCTATTCTTGTTTCTAAAGTCTCTTAAGCTGATTTCTTTATTATACCAGTTTATTTACAGAGTTTGAATATAATGTTTTTCACACCAGTTCCTTCCAATTTCCCTAACTCCCCAACCTATCAAATTGTGTGACCCCATAATTAATCACCCCTCCCTTGCCCATCCTCATCCCTTTGCTTCCTCCCCAGTCCTTGGATCCTCATTCATTCTACAGTAATAGTTTTAAACAATATTTGTCCTTATGGGAATGAGTTAGTTCATTCAGGATAATACTCTCCAGTCCCTCTCCAGTTAGGTAATAATTACAAAATTATTGCTCCTGCATGCTACATAGTATTCCATTGTGTAAATGTACCATAATTTCTCAATCCATTCTATTGTGGTTGGACACCGGGGCTGTTTCCACGTTCTTGCAATGGTGAATAATGCTGCTATGTGCACTCGTATATCCATTTAAGTCTCAGCTCTCATTTTCTTGGGGTACATTCCAAGCAGTGGAATAGCTGGGTCATGTGGAATTTCTATTTTCAGCTTTTTGAGGAAGTGCCAAACTGCCTTCCAGAGTGGTTGTACAACTGTACAATCCCACCAACAAGGTATAAGAGTTCCTATCTTGCCACATTCTCTCCAACATTTATTATTTGCTGTCCTGTTAAACTTTGCCACTGCTACTGGACTGAGATGGTATCTCATTGTGGTTTTGATTTGCATCTCTCTTATTGCCACTGATTTTGAGCATTTCTTCATGTGTCTGTTGGCCGTTTGAACATCTTCCTCTGTGAAAATTCTTTCCATGTCTTTTGCCCATGTTGTAATTGTGTTATCAGTCTTTTTCTTGTGGAGGCCCAGAAGTATTCTGTAAACTTTCATTAGGCGATTCTTGTCTGAACCAGTACTGCCAAATGTTTGTTTCCAGTCAGTCGGTTTTCTTCTCACCCTGTTAGAAAATGTTTTTGATGCACACAAAGATTTGATCATTAGAAGGTCCCATTTATCAATTTTTATCCTCTTCAGATTGTGTATTTCTGGCTATATTTGGCAGTCTCTTTACACTGTAGACTAGGCCTTCTAAGCTTGATCCCAATTTGTCTATTATGACCTTTATTGTTTTGAGCTTTCCTCTCAGGTCTTTGATCCATCTTGAATTGATTTTTGCGTATGATGTGAGATGTGGACCCTGTTTCAGTTTCTGCAGTTAGCAGTCCAGTTTTGCCAGCATCATTTGTTGAAGAGGTTATCTTTTCCCCATTTGATAGGTTATTTCTTTAAGTATCAGTTGACCATAGATTATATAGTGTTGTTGTCAAGTGCTGTCAAGTTGTAGATGAATCATAGTGTAGCTGGGTCTATATCTGAGTTCTTAATTCTATTCCATTGGTCTATAGGCCTGTCAGTGTACAAGTACCATGCTGTTTTGGTTACTTCCACTAGTAGGTTTTGAGGTCATGGAGTGCTATGCCTCCTATTTCATTTTTGTTTTTCAGGAGTGTTTTCCTTATTTGGGGGTCTCTTGCCTCTCTAAATAAACTTGACAATTTCCCTTTTGATCTCATTGAAAAATGCATTTGGTATTTGGGTTGGGATTTTGTTGAACATGTAGATTGCTTTTGGTAGGATTGTAATTTTCACATTATTGAGTCTCCCTGTCCATGAATGTGACCTTTTACATTTTTTTTAATTTCATTTTTCCATTTTCCATTTCCTTAGGTCTTTTAGGTATCTTGCAGAAATGCTCTGTAGTTTTCTTTATATAGGGTTTTAGTATCTCTTGTTAGGTTCACTCCTGAGTATCTCAGTTGTGGTTGGCTATTGTAAATGGTATTGCTTTCGTGGTTTCGTTCTCTGACTTCTCTTTGTTACTGTAGAGGAATCCCTCTGCTTTTTGGTTATTGATCTTATATCCTTCAACTCTACTAAATTGGCTTACTAGCTCTAACAGTTTGTTTTGTTTTTTTTATTTGTTGAGTCTTTGGGGTTTTCTGTGTACACGATCATACCATCTACATATAGTGATAGTTTAACCATCTCTTTGCCATTCTGGATGCCTTTTATTTACTTCTTTTGTCATATTGGTCTAGCAAGCACTTCTAAGACTATATTGAATAGAACTGGTGACAATGAGCATCTTTATCTGGTCCCTGTTCACAAGGAAAATGCTTTTAGTCTTTCACCATTGAGAATGATGTTGGCTCTTGGTTTTGTATATATACTTTTTACTATCCTTAAGCTAATTTCTGTTCCATTATCACCATCTCATAACTAAGGCAAACAAACTACATCTAAAAATAAAGATGCAAAGTGGTTTTACTGTGTGCTCACTTCTGCAAGACACAGTTCCTCCTACTCCTCCAATTACGGAGTCCCAGTTGTTGTGTGGTGCTGTTGAGTCGAGTATGACTCATAGCAACTTGATGAACAAAAGATCTGAACTCTGTCCTAGCCTGTACTATCCTCACAATCTACGAATGCAACACCATTCTTCTGATTTTCATTGCTGGCAGAGTATAACATGTGACTGTCTGAATCAAAGTGGCTAAAGCCAGTCCATCTCATCTCAGTATAATGCCTCAAATGTCGATGTTCATGCATTCAATTTCATTTTTCTCAATTTCTAGTTTTCCAACATTTACACGTTGTACATTTCATGTTCCAGTTACTAAAGGATATTGGCAATTGTTTCCCCTCATTTTGACTGATGTTCAGTCTTTGCTTTACCTCTAATACTGTAACTATCTCTGTTCCTCCACTGAGATGACTTATGCTATTAATACAAAGGCACGGAGTTTAAATCCACTAGCCACTCCATGGGAGAAAGATGGGCAATCAATTTCCTCCCATGAAATACACAGACTCTGAAAACACCCTGGAGGGTCAGCTGTGAGGTGGTAACAACTTGGTGGAACATAAAAACAACTACAACTTTACAGGCATAGGGAGTCAACAGGAAATTTTATTGTTAACCCAAAGGTGGTGCCTCTCTGGTAGTTTCTAATCTACCTGCAGCGACAAGGGAGAAGGATGGGCAATCACATCCACAGTGATCCACAACCTCTGAAAACCTGCTGGGGCGGGGTGTGTGTGTGTGTGTCACTTGTGAATTGGTTTCCAACTGCAGGCAATGAGGTTTGTTTTCAGTATCTGAGGTAGACCCGGATTTGGTTCCAGACCATAGCAATATAGTAGACATCACAATAAAATGACTCATTTTTGCATATAGAGTTTATATTTGCATCACCCTGAGAGCACAGTGGTTATAAGTATTCAGCTGGTAACAAAAACGTAGATGGTTTGAACCCACCAGGAACCTTATGGGCAAGGGACGGAAACGCTATTTCCATAGAGATTTAGAGCCTCCTAAAACCATTTTGGTGGGTCTAGTCTGTCATACAGAGTTAGCATGGGGATCCCATCTGACAGAGCAGAAAAGGTTCCCAGCACGGTGCCAGTGTGAAAGCGCAGAGCCAGGTCCTAGTACATGGATCTGTGTGACAGAACAGAGTGAGTTCTAGCTTGCAGATCCTGGAAGACACTTGACAGATGTGGTTTGGTTTGGGTTTCACCCTTTTTTTTCTTGGTTGTCTATTAAACATGCAGTAGCATTATAAAAAAAGTCTGGAACATAGTGAGAATTACCAAAACGTAAGGAAGAAAGTACATGCTATTAGAAAAAAAATGACCCGTGTACCTGCTCCACGCAGGGCTGTGATTTAACTTCCAATTTGTAAAAACACAGAATCTGTGAAGCGTAAGAAAGCAAAACCCTATAAAATGAGCTACACCTGTGTGTACTCAGTTGTTATCCTGCATTTTTCTTTAAGAACATTTATCTTTTTGGTTTTTTTAATGATTATTTTATAATATTGCCTAAAAGCCACAAAGCTATCATATTCCTACCTTCTAACACGAATGTTTAAGAAAAAAAGTGAGTGTGAGATTGAAGAACTATTTTTTTCTCGCTGCTGTTCAGTCAGTTCCACCTTGTCGCTGACCTTCCAGTGGGCTTCTGGAGCTGTGAGTCAGAGTGGGCACAAATGACCCGTCTTTCTCCCTCAGAGTGGCGGGTGGGGTCAAACTGCCAGAGAAGCTTAGAGAACACTATCGCGTTTCTATAGGGTCACTATAAATCTGGATTCATTCAACAATGATAACTGACAACAACATTCAAAAATATTCATTTAAAAAATTCATATTTTAGTTCAAAAAAATATATTTCTATATTTCGCTTGTTGACAGGGTTGTTTTTTTAAAGTAGGATACATTAAAAATACTATTAAGACAATTAAATTTGAATTCATTAATAGTTTATTGCAGAACATAACTGCCACTTGTGGACAATCTTTAAAAAAATACTTACCAATATTAGCATAATATTTCTTGTCATGTACATTTGTCGATAAGTCGCACATGTCCCCATAAGAACGAGCTAACCGCCAAATAAACTCAACTTCATCTTTAAACTGTAAAGACAAGACAGACAAGAACAATATTGAATAGCTTTGTATCTTGTCCACAGTACAACTTTAAAACACTGGCATGCATCAAATCTTTAAATTTCTGTGCAACCATGTAGAAATACATAAATTTCCATTCAAGTAATTATGGTTAAGAAATACTTCATA